GATATTTGTCTTTAGATCCAGAGTCAATAGCTGTTAAACTTAAATTTTTCACGGCAACTTAGCCTCCATTTGCAGAGTCCCTTTTAAATGTTATTGACTGCAGTCCAGCAGCTCTGTTTAGCACTGATGTGGAGGAGTGGTTGTCGCTCTGCAGCACTCCGTTAAGCTCCTGTATCTTTTGAGAGGTATCAGCAGAGAACAGCATTCTGTCGCCAGCTTTGCTGCCAACTTTACATCAGAGATCCCTGTTTTGTTTTCTGCACAAAAGTAGAGCATAGAATGGTTTTAAGTGCTTCTTTGCTAAATCACCAACTGTTATCTGAGCTGGTTCTTGTCCAATAGATCTTGAACAAAATGCAACCCAGGTTAGAGATTTCCCATGTCGGTCACAGACACAGTTTTAATGCTCGTAGTTTATATTTCTCTCATTTCTTTCATTCTCTTGTTCACTCAATGTTTTTTTAAAGAAATAGTTCAAGCTAAAACATTAGTATAATCCAATAGTTTACTACAACAACAATAAAAATACTGCTTTGACACAGTATTTGGAATAACATTAGAATGATTAATATTAGAGGCAGATATCAACGTAGTAATATCTATGATGTGTTTTAATGGTGCCATGATTGTATTGTTATGACAGCTGTAAGGTGTGTGAATGCATGGGTGTGTGGGTTAATGAGTGTCAATACAAGTGTATGAGTAACCAAACCATGATTGGTAGACCACAACTGAAGAGCTGGACGCAGACTGACTGCCTGATGAGACCACCCACATAAAATGAGCTGCAACAAAGACTTTGTCCATCCTCTGCGCATCCCACTCAGTCACACCTGGTCTGGTCCATCACACCAGAATTAGTACTTTGTTACTATTGTTGCCAGATTTTGTAGAATTGTGCTATCTTTTATAAGTATTTTTTTCATGTATTTTTATCGTTTTAAATTCCTTCTCTTACTCTTTATGTAGTTATAAAGTTAGGAGACTATATTTTGGTTCTGTTAAGCTTTTACTGGCAGTAAATACAATTGAGATAGTTTGGTTTTCTTGTTATTGTGGCCTTGACTCACCCAGGAAATTCAGGAAAACTACATTCTGTAAAGTCAACAACAACATCCAACTACAAATGTAATTTCATCTTTAACTTGTCTTTATGGCATTGAATCTTGTAGACGGTGCACAGGTTTGTGCATCTGGTCTTGCAGTTTTGAGCAACAGTTCTGTCAACCAGTAGCTGGTGCTAAGCTCCTCTGTCTTAACCACTATGATGCCTGACGGGAGCTGTCACGTCATACAAAGACAGGTGAGCAGCTAGTGGTTGGTTGGGTCAGATGGACAGGCCTCCATGATGTAAAAGCAGAAACTTCAAGCTCACAGGCTTTGTGTAGAGGTTCTGAGCACAAAGAGAAATTACAACCAAATGTGGAAAAAATCTTTTGCGCACTTGTTGAATCACATTCATGCTAAAAAAAAAAATTTATAATAATTTAAAAAAGGGTTTGTGGGCTCAATCATCCAGGTGGATAACAACAAAAAAGGTTATAGCATGTCATCTGGACCAATTTCTTTAAGTGAGAAATGTTTTGTCTCCCATCCGAAAGACAGTCAGTCTCCGACCTGCCATCCAGATCTGTCCTAAACACAGCAATGAAGGCTACCTATAGGACAGATCTGGTTGGCAGGCCGCAAGACTTCATCAGTCTCTGGCCTGCCAACCAGATCTGCCCTATAGGTAGCCTTCATTGCTGTGTTTCAAGCCAACCTCCTGTGGAATCTCCGAAGACTTTTACCACATACAAACAGGGCCCAGCCGTCCAAAACAATCAATCATCATGTATAAAAATCAAATGTTTTAGGTCAGATGGACAACTTGCTACTCACAGAACAGCTCGAGGACAACCAAGGCCAAAATTGTTCAGAACAAAGAGGTTTGTAAGGTCAATCATCCAGGTATAACAGCAAAAAAAGATTAAATCATGCCATCTGGATTAGTTGCTTTAAGTGAGAAAAGTTTCATCTCCCATATGGAAGACTTGGTCAGTCTGCAGTCTGCCAACCAGATCTGTTCCATTGGTAGCCTTCATTGCTGTGTTCCAAGCCTATCACTATAGACTATATGTCAGGGTATGTGAGTAGCAATTTGACCATCTAGCCTAAAACAGTTGATTGTTATACTGTACATGGTGACTGATTGTTTTGGACAGGTGGGCCTTGTTTGCATGCTTTAAAAGCCTACTTCTGAGATTTCACAAGAGGTTGGCTTGAAACACAGCAATGAAGGCTACGTATGGGACAGATCTGGTTGGCAGGCCAGAGACTGATGAAGTCTTCCAGATGATAGACAAAATGTACATCCATCCATCCATCCATTTTCTTTACCCGCTTATTCCATTTTGGGTCACGGGGGTCGCTGGTGCCCATGTCCAGCAATCACTGTGCGAGGGGCGGGGTTCACCCTGGACGGGTCGCAAGTCCATCACAGGGCCACATAGAGACAAACGAGACAAACAACCATTCACTCTCTCTCACACCTAGGGACAATTTAGAGTTACCAATCAGCCTAACATGCATGTTTTTGGACTGTGGGAGGAAACCGGAGCACCCGGAGAAAACCCACGCATGCACGGAGAGAACATGCAAACTCCACCCAGAAGGCCCCTGGACCGGGGTTTGAACCAGGGACCTGCTTGCTGAGAGGCAGCAGCTCTACCAGTTGCGCCACCGTGCTGCCTAGACAAAATGTTTCTCACTTAAATAAACCAGTCCAGATGACATGATTTAACCTTTTTTGTTCAAACAAATAATACTTAGTGCTAGATCTAGTAATATGACATTTTCCTTAAGCCTTAAAAAACAGCTCCTGGTTTCAAGTTCCTTTGCGGTGGAACCACCTGTTTGTTAGTCTGGATCTGGAAGTCCCATAGTATCTTAGCTCTTCCAAATGTTTTGCTGAAGAGCTGATGATGGAGGCTGTTAGAAAATACAGCCATGTTTACAACTGCAAACAATATAAAGGTAACTTGTGGAAGGGGGTAGTGCAGTGTTTTTCTTTGGATGAGACAGCGCCTCATCCAGACAACAAAGAGATATGTTCCGGCACCGTCTGTCAGAAGAAGTGGAGGTCTCTTTGTGACAAATTTGCAAAATAGGACTTGGCCTTGGTTAACAACATAAATACTCGATTTTCCTCCTCCGACGTCTTCATCAACAGCTGAAAATAAACATCCACTTTGCCACCCAGGCTCTCACTTTGTTGTTGCTGTTTGCAATTGATGTGTTCTGCAGTGGTAGGGCTTACCAGGAGTTCTCACTACATTTTCTCTTTAGAGCATAAATGTCAATGTGAAAAACTACATCTTGGGTCTGACAGAGTATCAGACTTTATTTTTCATGTTCTTGCAGTTTATCTTCACATTTATTTGATAAAACTACCGTTGCTGTCACAATCACCTATTTGCTTGCACTTCCTTACTGAACAACTGTTGAAGAACAGGTTGATGCATAATGTTTCACTCGTATACATTCCTATTCATTCTTCAATCTACCCATCATGCTCACACCTGTGTCTGAACATTGAATATATTAATATATTGTTGACTCTTGCTCACTGAGGAAAATGGGCATTCAGAGAAAATGTAGGTGAAAGGAAAACATGCAGACTCCAAACATATAATCACCCTTCAAAGTTTGAACCTGGAGGCTGTTTCTGTGAGGAAACAATTAAAACGTGTATTGTTTGAATAATTTAGTTTATGTTGTCTCCCATGATGATGTCAAATTTTATGTTTTAATTGAAAATAAAAAATGACAATCATGCAAAAGGCAAATTTTAGAAATTCCCCATTTTTTATGAATTTGGGACAGATAGGATACCATTTTTTAAGTTACTGTAATATCATGGTAATGTATTAAATTAGGGTTGGCATATCTTCAACTATACAACAGTGGTGCTTGAATGTTTGTGAATGTTTTAGAATTTTCCATATTGCTGCACAAATGTGACTTAAAACATCAGATTTTCACATGTCCTTAAAGTAGATAAAGACAACTCAAACATATGAGACAACAATAGTTGACTTGGTCATTTATTTATTTTGGAAACTTATCCAATATTACATACTTGTGAGTGGCAAAAGTATGTGAACCTTTGCTTTCAGTATCTGGTGTGAACCCCCCCCACCCACCCACACACACACACACACACACACTCATGGTCCAGTGATGTTTTAGGTTATATTTATGCAGAAATATAGAAAATTCTAACGGCTTCACAAAATTTCAAGCACCACTGTACTATTTATCATTTTTTCTTTAAATCCTGAAGAAACAGCATTATGAAGCTATTTAACAAGTGTTGGGGCAATTTAGTCTGAAACAGGAGCGTGTAATGGCGTGTGTGTTTAAACAAAATGAGCAAGAATATGTCCAGAAGAATAAAAGATTGCAATCCTAATTTGTTTTATCATTTGACCTCAGTATCTCAATAACATTGTGATAATGGAGGCCTGCTTTATTGCAAAGAGCCTTGAAGAAAAAGCAAAGTGTCGCAGGCTCGACACTAATTATTGCACGCTGCTAGAAGATAAATTAGTTTGATCTTGTAGAAATTATTTCTAAACATAATAGAGTTAAACTGACCCACACTGAACTTCACTGACATGAAAACACTCAAAGCAGTTCAGTGGCAAAATAATTAGAGGGGTTTTTAGATGTTCATTACAAACATCTAGAAAAAAAATCGTAAACAATTTAGATGTTTGATACATTTTAAGAAAATGTATAATTTCCAGAAAAAATAATCAGGACTCAGATCACTTCTAGGCTTTTTATAGAGGCATTCAATGAACAGAAATGTAGTATTAAAATAACTTTCTCTTAAGCCTTAAGTAAAAAGGAAGAGGTTGGTTTGGGTTAGATGGCACGTAATAACTTACTGTACATCACCACATATGAAAGAATATTTAATGCATTGTTAAAGAGATGCTGTGCAAAACACCCACCTGTAAATGATGCAGGCGCTGTTTCGACACGTATCACAATTTGCTGTGTCTTGTCCTGTTCTATAGGAGAGCCTGTGAGAAAAGAACAAAAACATGGCTTTTACCATCACATTACACCTGTAGGCAATAAAACAGAATATCTTTTTTCTGCTTTGTTGTTTACCCAGCCTTGCTTTCATTTAAACAAGCTGTACATCGATGTCACCCGTCTCTGAGGGATTTGAATAGTGAATGTTTGTAGCGTTCAAGATTAGTTTTATTAGGGTTCTCTGAACTGAAATTGAACAAGGAATGCAAGTAAACCTTAACATTTTGGGTACAAGATATTCAAATGGGTCTGAGTTACATTGTGTATAAAAAAAGGCAGAATTTTGTTTATGTTTGTTCGAAGCAATGCAGAGTGAAGGCTCTTGGGAGTGGATGGAGCAATTTTAACAATGACAAGGCACAATGGTGGAGCCAGGGGAAGGCCAAGGCCACCATAGATTAATCTTCTGCCACCCCAATCATTTGATGAAATTATATTTTTAAGCAATATAATGCCCAGAAAGCATAGTTTCTTTAACTAATAGGGATGGTCAGTTTACAGCTATATGACAGTGGCTATGTTGGGTTTTAATGTGGCAGCCCAATTTTTGAATGTGACCTTTCTTAGGCCTAGATGCAGCCACACACCAAAATAGAAGTTTGAAGTTCATCCATTTTTCAAGTTATCATTCTCACAACATGGAGGAATATTTATAGCTGCTGCCATCTTGGATTTTGATGCAGCAATCCAATTTTTGAAAGATACCTTTCTTATGCCAAGATGTAGACACATCAAAATGGAAGTCTGTACCTCACTTGTTTTTCAAGCTGTAATGCTCACGACATGCACGGATGGATGGATGGATGGATGGATGGAGGGTATTTCCAAATGTCCCTCTTTATTTTGCTATAGGGGACACAAGCACACACACTCACTCAGAAACCCCCCCAGCAGAAATTAGGATACTGTAAATCTCTTAGATTTGGTTAATTAAGTGTGTGGACTTGCAAATTCTGCATAATAGGATTACTTTTGCTTGGTCATCACAGAGTGTATAATGAACACAAGCATAACTCACATGTAATAAAAAGTCTAAAATCTTAATTTATGCAAAGTTTGTTCCACACTGTACATCATTATGTTGCATCCACCTCAATCCACTGCAGACACTTTTTAAGCAATAAACAACCATTTTGCCCTGTTGCTTTGTTTTTCTTTATGACACATTTTTATGCTGAAAGCGCTCTACAAAGCTCATTTGCACTATAAGTCTCAGCATGTACAGGTGAGAGCTTTACTGATATGGGACTATATGGAAAGAGCTGTGTTAGGATGGTATGTGTAATTGCTTGCTGTCAGAGAAGCCCTTCACCCTGATGGATGACATGTGGGAGGGGTTTGACCTCGACTGTTCAAGATGACATGAGAGGTGGCCACAACGGGGGGAACAGAACAGCATCTGTGTGGATCGAAAATGCTGATCGGAGCTGAAGGGCAATAAGTTCATCCATCCTAGTTCGGTCTCTTATAAAGTGTTTTTGAACAGCAGTGAGGAAGGGCAGTAACCCACAGTACAGGCAGGATCTACTCCTGTGCTGAGTCGCTGCCTGGATTTGTATATTGTTGTAATTTAGGGAGCTACACTCTAATAATCAAACCACATTGACCTAAATTTATAATCACTGCCTGTACTCAACACAACCTTCTAATCAGCACGAAGAGTTCATGCCCTATTCTGGTGAGGCGATAATAAAGCACAGCATGTTAGTTACAAAATGTTTTCATAGATAAAACGGCATTTTTTTAAGCTAATAATTGGCTCACATCACCTTTCCTGTAATATTTAATCCTTTCAGTTTCACTTTCCACTCCTGCCTACGTGCCATCAGCAGCTCTGCACACAACATGTGAATTAAAGCTACGCTAAAGGTAGAAGGAAGCACTCCAACTTTTATTTACAGTGCTCTCCGATGTGTACTGTCATCTGTGATACATTAAGCTTTGTGAATGGAAGAAACGCAGACTTTTTTTGTAGAATAAAAAACAACAAATTAAAACAATTGTGTGAAAAACATTGTGTTATGTATAATTACGTTGAAATATATGTGGCCCTGTGATGCATTTGCAACCTGTCCAGGGAGTCTCCTGCCTCTCGCACAGTGACTGCTGGATTTGGGCACCAGTGACCTCCATGATCCGAAAAGGAAGAAGCTTTTTTATTGTGGGTGTGTGTGTGTGTGTGTGTGGGGGGGGGGGGGGGGGGGGTTGTGTGTGATGTGCAGTCAGGGGAGACATTTGTGGCAGTGTCACACCTATCATCATGATAAGTAAAATACAAACAATGATAAAAGAAAATACATTTGACCATTTGACTGTTCTATAAAAACTGTTTTCTGAATTGTTTCAACACTTTAATGGTCAAAATCGCAAAATTTGTGCATTGCCTGTTCTAACATGGATGAAATGCGCTGGGTGCAGCAGTGTAGTGCTGTGGCTCACCTCTGGTGGCGCTGTGTCATATACAACATATGAAGTAGGTGATTGGAGCCTGCCCATTGTTGTCTCTCTTTATATTTTCAGTATACATGTTTGATTACATGCATGTGCTACACATGCTTATGTTCTACAGTCTAATATATTGTATGTGTGCGACATATTTCTTCTTTTTAATCAGTCATAATTGCACAGATAAATTATACAGTGCGAGGCTGAAAGTACTTTGCCGCACCGATAGGGGGAAGCTGCCACATAGGGACAATGAAGCAGGTGCAGTTGCTGTATGTTCTTCTGTTACGCAGAGGGGCAGGGATGTAGGAAATGGGTACAATCGTTTACATTTGTTTAGACAAAATGGACGATCATATCTCAAAACTAAATAATTTTTTCTAAACTCATTCATCTTAAAATAAAGGTAAGATAATACCGTTTTTTATTTAAAAAGAAAAGAGTATGAAGTTGATTAAAGCATAATTAGATGTCTTTTTAAAAGGAAAAAAGGCTAAATTGAAATATAAGTTTGTATTTTGGGTTCATATATGTGAGCATCCGATTCCAGATGAGTCAGTGCCTCACCTGTCACAAACCACACCGCATGTCACAGATGTATGTATATATATATATATATATATATATATATATATATATATA